TATATTAAAAATAAAATTTATAAAAATTAAAAATATAAATTAATTTATTGTATGTCCCGTGCTACTGTCTAGTTAAGTTAATACAGTGAAATCAATAGGTTTTGGATCTGCACTGGCATCAAGGTCAAGGTTGATATGAACAAATATCATCAAATCCCATGTACTCCTTCCGGTCAATCTTCTTTACCATGTTAGCTATGCCTACCCCGCCTGTTTCAATTTGAATGGAAAGGAAGATTTAGTCAACTCTATAATGTTACGAAGCCAAATCTATAATGAAAAGTGGGTTGAGCATTAGCTCATACCAAGTGATATGGCACTAGCAAAGATCATGCCAGACAGAATGAAGATGATGAGAGATGCTCTCCCTAAGATATTGATGACTTTTCCTACCACGTGTTGGCCTACAAATGCAGCAATTGTAGCCATGCCAGCAAGGTAAAGAGCTGTTCAACACAAGTTATTGTTAACACGATATAGGTTCGGGAATTTGAACTCAAAAGAAGAAATTGCATAAACGAAACCATTGTTTGTCTATCATTACCATATGGGACTGGAAATCGTCTTAGAAGGTAATATTCTACGACTGACATAGACGCAGAAAATGTCATGGCAAAGGTTGCTGTGGCACTTGAAACCTACATAAATTTGAGAACAGGATGGTTCACATTTGAATAGATTGTTATTGATTCAAACCCCACTTTGTTAAGGTCAAAACGAGCATAAATGGGTGCACCTGAGGAGGGATTCCTATCTCCAGAAAAAGAGGACCCAAAATAAATCCTCCTCCTAGTCCCAGCATTCCACCAACTATACCAGCCAAGACACCCAAGGCAGAGTAAATAACCAGCTTGTGTACTTGCCAGTGTGTGCCAGCTTCTCCCTTGGATGCAATCTTTCTCCTCCCTTTGCACAGGTTGACTGCTTCATATGAAGTTACTCCCACAGTCACCGGGATCTGGAAATTACATCTAGTCATCAATCAAAAATGATGCACTTGAACAAAGTCAAGAAAGGCAAGGAGAAAGAAGTATGAAGATACCTGTGAAAAATTTAGGAGCCAGTATGTCGCTGAGCATGTTGTTGAGTAATTCTGTGACCAAAATTACATATGGAATTTTTGTTAGTTAATGAATGCAAATAAGAACGTTGAATAAAGGCAGTTGAGTCCATAAAAGTAGACAACCTTAGCAATCTGTAAAGTGAGGATTATAACCCAGACAGCAACAAGAACACCAAGTTCCTTCCAACATACATTCTGAATTAGAGAAACCTGGGAACAGGCACAGAAACTATTCAAAAGCTCTTTTCAGGGTCTAAAAGATTTGTTTGTTTAATTTCTTTTGAACGTTCTTTTTCTTCTTCATGGTCTTACCTTTGATCTATTAGATTCCTTACTTTCGGTTTGAGTACTTTTTGGCGCACTTTCTAGTTGAGTTTTGTTTTCTACTTCAATGGTACTAGTTTCACCTGATCTCAGAGCAGATTATATAGCATAAAATTCCCATAAAAAAGGGAGAAATACGTAATTTAGCATTTAGAACTCACCATTTAAATTGAGTCGTCGTGCAGCTTCCTGCAGAAATCAGAAACACGAGAACTAAGTTGTATTAAAGTTAACAATGATGAAATTAGTGTGAATTTATTGAATGTTTATGCACCTTGTGATGTTGCAGCTAGAGAATTCCTGTGAGATGACCTCAAAAATGTGATTGGAAATAAGGGTAGGTGTTGGTGTTTAATGGGTGATTTTAATACTACAAGAAGCCCGCAGGAAAGGACTGGTGAATATGGCCTTACAAGGGGGATGATAGATTTTGATTGCTTAATAGAGAATTGAATTTGGTGGTTTTACCTCTAATTGGGAGGAAATATGCTTGGTACCAATCCAGTGGTTCAAACTATGAGTAGACTTGATCGTTTTTTGCTATCTATAGGTTGGATGGCTACCTGGAGTGAAATTAGACAATGGGCTCTCAAGCGCTCCATTCTCTAACCATTGTCCTATTTTACTTGGGGACCGGAAGATTAATTGGGGCCCCAAACCATTTAAATTTTTTGATGAGTGGATGCAGCATAAGGACTTCAGAAATGTTGTGGAGGAAGCTTGGAGATCAGTTGATGTTCAGGGCTGGAAAGGATATATGATGAAAGACAAATTAAAGGCAACCAAGAAGAAATTAAAGGAATGGAGCAGTAAGGTGTTCTCTCACGTGGATCAATCAATAAAAAATGCAAAAGAAGGCATTGCTGCTACAGACAAGAAGGTAGAGGAAGGATAATTAATAGATCTGGAGATTGCTAGAAGGCGACAATGCTTCTTAGACCTATGGAATAGCGTGAAGATTAAAGAAGGGATGGGTAGACAAAAAGTTAGAAAGGCATGTCTTAAAGATGGACATACAAATTCTAAATAATTTCACCAGTGCATTAAAAACAGACAACGACAAAAGGAAATCAACTGCATTGAGATTGTTGGGAATCGACTGGAAGGTGTACAAGAAGTCAAAAATGGCATTGTAGAGCACTTTCAGAACTGTTTTTTGAGGAAAATTGGATGAGGCTTGTTCTGGATGGAGTAGATATAAAACAAATCACCCCACAGCAATCTTTGATGCTAATTGCACCACTTGAGGAGGAGGAAATTAAAAGAGCTATTTGGGATTGTGGCTGCTCTCCAGGACTAGATGGATTCAATTTCAAATTTTATTAGAGATATGTGGGAGGTAATCAAGAAGGATGTGGTTAGTTTGATATAAGAGTTCCACAAGAGCAAAAACTAGTCTCGAGGCTAAATGCTTCTTTCATTACTCTTATTCCTAAAACGATTAATCCATAGAAGATTGAAGAGTACAGGCTTGTCTCTCTTATAGGAGACATGTATAAGATTCTAGCTAAACTTCTAGCAAACAAACTTCGGTAGGTTATGTCAAAGATCATAGTGGAACATTGAATGGCTTTCATGGAAGGTAGGCAGTTGGTTGATGTAGTGGTGATGACAAATGAGATTATTGATGAAACTAAATGGAACAAGAAGTCAATTTTCATTTTTAAGATTGACTTTGAAAAGGCTTATGATGAGGTGTGTTGGAGTTTTTTAGACTATATGATGCTCAGAATGGGGTTTGATAACACTTGGAGAAGTTGGATTAAGGAATGCCTTAGTACTAGTAGGCTATCGGTGCTTATTAATGGGAGCCCTACTAAGGAATTCTTTGTCAGCCATGGCTTGAAGCAAGGAGACCCACTCTTCCCCTTTTTATTTTTGATCGTTGATAAAGGGTTAAATAGACTCATGCATATGGCTGCTAGTAGGAACTTGTACCATGGAGTGGTAGTGGGTAGAAATGGTGTTACATTTTCATATATTTAATTTGCGGATGATACAATCTTGTTTGGGGAGGCTACGAAAAATAATGTCTAGGTAGCAAAGTGTTTGATGAAGATCTTTGAGGTAGTTTTTGGTCTCAAGGTCAACTATTTGAAGAGTCAACTTTATAGCATTCATGTTGATGAGGTTTGGAATGGTAAAATGGCATGGCTACTAAATTGCTTTACAAGGGAGTTGCCTTTTAAATATCTAGGAGTACTGATGGGGGGAAATCACAGGAGATTATCATTTTGGCAGCCATTGGTGGACTCTATCAAGAAGAAATTACTAAGCTAGAAAGGTAAATGGTTCTCGAAGGAAGATTAACCTTGCTAAACTTTTTTCTCACTTCACTACTTGTGTTTCTTTTGTCGGTTTGCCTCGTGCCCAAAAGTATTGTGAAGACTATTGACAAAATCAGACGAGCATTCCTCTGGGGGGGTTGTGGTGAGTGTAGGAAAGTTCAATGGGTTAGTTGGGAGAGAGTGTAAAGAAAAAGAAGTGGGAGGCCTTAGGGTGAAAGATCTTAGAGCGATTAACCTTTCTCTACTTGGTAAATGGTGGAGGGAGATGGCTAGTGGAGTGGAGAGTTTAATGTTCAAGTTAATTATGAAAAAGTATGGAGATACGGGTGATAACTAGTTGTCTTGAGTGAGGGAGGGCAGAGGGATGGGATCAAATTGGTGGAAGGATGTGTGTGGGATAGATGTGTTAACGGTAGATAAAAGCAGGTGGCTAACTAGTGGGTTTGACATTTGGGTAAGTGATGGCAACTCATTAAATTTCTAGAGGGATGTATGGTGTAAGGAGGGAGCTCTTGCTAACTTATTCCCAAGGTCTTTTTTGCTTTCTGTAGGTTTGGATAGCGAATTAAGAGCCTGTTTGGTTTGGCTTGTGAGAGCTTTTGCTTTTGAGTACTGTTATGAGTGATAAGTTTAAATTTTTATTGAAGGAAAAATTTAAAAGTTGCTTTTAGAGATAGAAAAAAGTGAGTAAAAAAGGAGTAAAAAGAGAGTTTATGAAAAGTTTGGATTTGAAACTTTTGAACTTCTACTGTTTGAGGTTCTTTTAAGGTTAAAAAAAAGTTTAAAAATGTAAGTTTTTAAGAGAGAAATTTAAACTTATGAAATATGAATAGTATTAAAAAGCTGAAACTCCTAGAAGCTCACCCAAACATGCCCTAAATCAAATGGGATTTTGGCAAGATGAAAAATGATGCTAGCAATTGACATGGCGGTGCAACTTCCTCTCTTGGGAGTTACAAGCTAAGGATCAGTTGGAAAAGCTAGTTGGGATGGTGCAGCTTCATCAAAGACAAAGTGATAGATAGATTTGGAGACACAATGCAGATGGCCATTGCTCGACTAAGTCTGATTATGCTCTGTTGGCTCCCTTGTAGGATATGACCTTCAAGCATGTCTTTGGAAGAGTCTAGAACCAAGTACTTCCTTCCAAAATCTGTAGTTTCAATTGGCAACTATTACTAGACAAGTTATCCACAAAAACTAATCTGTTTTAAGAGGAAAATTATCAAGGAGCCCATAGAAATCATCTGTTGTTTATGTGGTGGGCATTTGGAAGATGTTTCGCACTTGTTTCTCCACTGTAAGGTAACCTCAAATCTCTAGAATAAATGCTGTAAATGGTGGGGATACAAGCAGTTATTGTATAAAACATTTGGGACACTTTTGTTCAACATGAAGGAATTTAAACTTCTACTAGTTTGAGTATGGGTTGGGAGATAGTGTGGTTTGCATTGACTTGGACGGTATGGCTTACAAGGAACAAGAAACCATTTAATAGGGGAACGTTGACACTGAGAAAATGTTTGATTTAATTTAGGTGAGGTCATTTCACTAGTCAGTGAATAAGGGTAAGATTCAGATGTTGTTCTTCTTAGATTGGATTTTAAAGCCCTACTTGTGTTTCATGGGAACTAGTTGATTTAGGTGGGGCTTCTACTTTCCTAACCCGTATTTTGATGGGTTGATTACCTCTTGTACTCCATGAATAAAATTTTGCTTTTCAAAAAAAAAAGAAAAAAAAAAAAAGAAGCAAACAATGAACTTGGATAGAAAATAAGATATTTGGTATTGAACCTCTTTCTTCTTGATAGTTTCCTTTTTCCATGTCTCAAAACCTTTGAGGAATGACTTTGTTGACATGCCTGCATACCATTCTGGCCTGTTAAGAAAAAAAATCCGAAAGAGAACATGAAGAAAGAACTTTAAATCAAATGATGTTTACCTAAGAAAAGAACAATTAGGAAAATGGTGATCAACCAGTCAGCCAAGATCACGTTGAAACCGACCCCAATACTAATTCCAAGCACCAACATTGGTTGAAACAGAAGCGCGAGGTCATAGTCGATAAGTGGAATATCAAGTGTGGGATGCCTCTGCTTTATGTTATAGATTACTGTTGCAACTGCTGCACCAGTGATCATACCTGACCAAAAGAAGGGAATATTCAAAAGAGCTTGGTAAGAAGAGGAGCTGAAGACAAAAAAGACACAGGAAGATGGTTTCTTGTAATTACATTTTGATATGGCAGTTGATGATTTTGGATCAAACCCAATAATCAAGGTAAGCATAGGAACATAAATGCCACCCCCGCCTACTCCTCCAACGCTTCCAAATGCTGCTCCAAAGAATCCAATTATTGTGCCAACAACAATTTTCCAGCCAAATATCATGTCCTGCACAATACACAAATTCACAACCCAAGAACGAAATGGATGGAAAGAACCTATTCACTGTTATAAACACAGATTTAAGGGGAAGAGTTTCCATAAATAAATTCTCTTTCTTACAGGAAAACTGCGTACAGTTATCCATCAAGAATGTAGTATGGAAATGGGACTCACTGGCCAGACATGCTCATAACGTTGTTGAGCTTCCTGCTCAAGGAGCTTCCATGCTCTCCTAATAAAATCAATTTCTTCTGTCTCATTGTGACTAAAAACTTTGTATCTCGAACTTGGTTCTGCTCTAACAAAAACAGAATTCACAAGAAGAAAACCAATTAAAAACATTGATATCAATCCCATCAGATTGCTCAATCCCCCCAATCCCATCTCTGAAGTTTTCAATTCAGCCCTGATATGGACGAAGCTCAAGCTTCATTTATCTCCATTTCAAGTACACCTGAGTTGTTTGTCTGTCTTCCAGTTGAGACTTAAATTATTATATAAATAATGATAAATAGACCAAAATTTGATACTAAAATCTAAGAATAATGACGTGACATATGCTACGTTATTTAAAATATTAAAAAATAAATTTTATATTATTTAATAATTAATATTTTTTAAAACTGCACTAACTAATTTAATAACATAATATATAAATCATGTTATTAATCTCAAAATCTTCATCTTAAATTTTTGTCCTCCCTACCATTACTCCATTCGTATTGGCAATATTTTGGGATCTGAGAGCAAGACAGAAAATCAAGCAAAGTATAGACTGTCACAAATCTCAATAGCAAAATTGCCACTAGGAGATATCTATTAGTTGGGGATTTGATTCTTTATAATTAATATATTCTGTAATAGTTTTATTTCTTTGATTCAGGCTTGATTTTAGGGTCTTTTTTATACTCACGAGCTTCACAGTAGTATATATGAAAAAACCACTTTTCCAGAAATTTCACACGTGCTAGATCTTTCTTTGTCTCTTTACTCTTCCCAAAGCCTAAATTGCTTCTCCAAATTATATCCTAGCAATGGCTGAATCACTCTCTACAGCCACCGACTATAGCCGAAGTTTTTCAAGAAAAAATGATGCATCCACTTCAAAATTTGCTGGTGTCAACGGAAAGCATGTTCAACTCCACTCATGGTTTGGATTCTACTCAGGAACAAATTAATTGAACAGCTTCCTTCCATTATTCAACCTAGTAATTCTAATTCTTCTCTACAGCAGCTATTGTTTCATCTTCATGTTTTACCTCTTGACCAAGTGATTATTGGGTTATTGACTCAGGTTGCAAAGATCATATAACATCTATAAGTGAATATCTAACTTATGCCCCAAAGGCTAGGATAAGAATACATTTATAGTACTTTTTGTCAATTAATTTGTATTAAACAATTAAAAAATAATTTTAATTTTATCGAACATTTAATTAAAAGTATGCACTTGACATTTATGACAAAAATAATGTCAACTTCTTTTATTTTGTATAAAAATTAAATATAAAAAAGTACAAGTAAATAACACATCCTTAACATATGTTTAAGGATACAAATTAGATAAACCCAACATATAATTATAAATATATACAAGAGTTATGGATTTTCAAGCAAGGAAAAATTAAATTGCAAAAAATTTTTAAATAAAAATATAATTGTATTAATAATTGAATTAATTACATCACAAATTATAGCTTGCCACATAAACTATGCAAGAAATATAAAAGAAGCTAATAAGAACCAGTGACACTATAACATAAAGAGCTAATATTCATAATAAGTAAGAAAATTAAGTACTGAAACCTTCTAAATATAATATAGAATAGAGAGGCACTCTATTAACCATATATAAAATGATAATAGTATGGTCTCTATGGAATGCGCGCAATAACTTCGTGTTCAAGGGGCAGGATACTTCAGTGCAGGACGTATTTGAGGCCACACGAGTTCGATCGTCTTTATGGCTGAAAGAAATATCGACGGGGTTTCTATATTCTTTAGTTATTGGAGAAACAGACCTTACGAATTTATGGCTGCAATTTGAGAAAGCAATTGATGGTTTAACAAACGAAATGTTAGAGTAGGAAAGGAAAAAAATTTGTGTTAGTATACGGTAGGAATGCTGCTTGTAATCTAATAAAATTCTTCTGGCTGTATATGTTACCGCTAATCACATTTATTTTCTCATTTAATCCTAAAACAAGAGATCAGAAGATATGATAATGGCAATGTAGTGTCTACCAACAGTACAATACTGTGTCCAGACTCTGATACATTTCTAATATTAAAATGGATGAAAACATCCACATGCATTGCTATTGCAGTGCCTGAACCGTCCAGTCTAACTGTCGGATTTTTGGTGGTGAAAAGGGGGGAGAGGAGACTTGGAGAAGGAGAGACGCCTGGAGTTACCTCATTTGGTGAGGTGAGAACCCATTTTCTTCGTTCATTTTCTGCCATTATATAGCAGAAATCTCATAACACATAAGCACTAATTTCTACCTAATACAATAAATTTTTCTACCTGACACATTGACTAATATGTGCAACTCCATGTGGCTGCTACTGTACTGTTGGTGCAGCTCTCACTTCCTTTCATCTGCTGCCACTGTGTTGCAGCTTCTGTTGCAGCTTTGACACCACAACTCAGCTCTCACTTCTTTTCATTTGCTGCCACTGTGTTGCAGATTTGACACCACAACACCAACACTAAACTTAGGCGCCTTTCCATCTTCAAATGTAGGTAGAGCCAACTTCCACTTCCCTTGCCTCAGTTTTTTCCTCCTCTGACAACCGTATCTGCCCTAGAAGAGAACCGGTATCATCAGCCTCCACCGCCGAACATACTGTTTTCTATCTGCTCGAGCACTACCTCCCTCACGATCGGACATCGTGGGTGATCATGGGATTGCAGCACACTTTTGGGATGAAGCCAAATTTGAAAGAAAAGTGAGCAGCATGCACCCTTTTGGTTTGTGCAGCGTGATTTCGTGATTTGTCCGTGGGCAAGAACCTTATTTACCTCCTGTGTGGTTACCAAGAGAGAGAAAGAAAAGAGGGCCTCCTTAGTTTAGAAAATTCTTGAGAGAGACTATCCTATTATCTCGAGTATGTCGTGCCTCCTTGTTAGCTTGTCCAGATAAATGACGAATGCTAGTCAATGGTGGCAAATGAGTTTGGATTTGAAGGCGGTTGGTTGATCAAAGACAGAGATTGTGGGTGGGTGGATGAGAGATTAAGGCTTATTTGGCTTAGGGAAGTACCCGGGTGAGGGGAGTATCTATTCTTCTTAGAAGATGGTAATTTCAATAGGATTGTCTGAAAGTTGACTGTTTAATAGAATAATTCTCTTACCTAGGTATCTTAGTTTTTGCCTCTATAGCAATTGTAGTTGTAGATAACCTCTTATATTTAATTGCTTAAATATATTCCAAATATATTTTCAATAAAAATCTCTATATTCCAAATATATATATATATATATAAATAAAACTCTAGCGAAAAATAACTGAATTGGTGGAATTAAATTAATTTATGGAATACCTATAAAATTAATGCCAATGTAAAATTAAAAACCTATAAAATGAATTATACATCTTTAATATATCAATACATAGAGAGAATTTATTAATACTAGTTAAATAATTTAGGCATCTTGCACTTTTTTTTTCCGCGTTTG